TGACATATAATAACGATAATGAAATGGCCTTACACGATCTTTCGACCTGCGACAAAAATGAAGCAACCAGTCCATTCGAAACTTCAAAGCACCGCGTTATCTCATTAACATCAATTGCAACAATTAAAATAAAATGAGCCATCAATTACGGTTGGAAAATTAACAAGCGACAAGTGAGCAACAGGTTCCTTTCATTCCGATACACGAACCAATTTCCTTAGTAATGGTATTGATGTCGTTAAACGGTTAATGGTCCTATTCTACAACATGTGGTCGTGTTAAAACCTTCCTTCTGTCCTATCTTAAGATTTCTTCGACATTTGGCGGACGACATTCACCTAAATTATTCCTTTTGATCGCCTAATACCTTACACCCCTCCCGGTCAAAGAAATGGGACAATGTATGGGGGGTAGTCTTCTCCATCGCCATCTGCCCTGGAGTGTTTTATCAGACGATCTCTTCAATACAATGTCGTTATCTTCTGTACACTGTTACGTCAAATACCTGCTTCAGCGACAGATGGGCCATAAAAAGCTATTGGGCCGAAAAACAAGATAGTTACACAATATCATGATTTCTATTAATTGTGGTTAATGAATCTTAAAATCAATCGATAAGATTACAGTGATTTTATGGACGGGTTACGACATTCCAGATTTCTCTTTCAAATAGAAAATCTGAATAATTCAAGTGGGTCAAATGTCTTAACGCGTTTTAAACTACAACTTGGATGTCACCTGTAAAATATTTCGTTTTGATCATCTCCGATATGACTTTTTATTCTATAGAATCTCAACTGTGTGTCTTAATCAACTTTAAATTTTGAGGAGGGCAACATGCCTTCATTATTTAAAATGCATTCAGTTTCACCTGTTTCCTACATTGATGACGAGGCAATTATGTTTTTTGGGGGGGTTTTGTTAAAGAAAATAAATGAAGACATTAAGAGATTCATATTTGCGTTTTTTTTCAGCGCGGCAAATCAGGTGATCCATCATATTCGTTTCTGATCAAATAATGAACATGATGGATTAACAGTCAATCCCGAACACGTGGAGAGCACTATCAATATTATAAACTCTTTAATACAAATTGTGTAAATTCAGTTTATACATGCACAAACTTTGAAGTTCTTTCTACAGAAACATTTGCCGTATTCATAGGCATCCATTTGTACTGTTGGGTTCAATCATACACTTGTTTGCATTTCTTTGTTACAACTAATGTGAAATTAAGTTCATTTATTCAATTGCCGGGCCATATGGACTACATCAAAACAATTTTACAAATCATAATCAGATGCTTTTGTTGTATGGGAATTTTGGCGGCGGGTAACGGTGAAGGGGCGTCCCCACCTGTCGTTGGTAAAAGTACTCGGGTCGCTAGAACACTTGATGGCCGATAGTAAATTACTTAAAGGTATCTCAAGTCATTTAAGCTTTGAAGTTTGCCGCTCCACGCGACGAGCAGACTATAAAGTTTTTAATACCGTAAAGTTTCGAGCCCAGGGGTATCAGTTGGTTTTGTATCACCAACCTGTTTCTTGGGTCGTGATTGGAACGGTTGAAACGACAGGTGGATACCCTTATACCGTTTGTTTTATTGTTGCTGAAGGCCACCTCACGGCGCCCCTGTCAACACAAGCAGATGGTCATTCTACCAGCTACCGATAACCCATACCCTCGCTCTCGATAGGTCCGTTACACAAAAATCTCTTCGCTCATTGGTTTATATTTTCCTATCTTGCGGTGAATAAGGTCGTCAGTGTACTGGAATGACAGCGAACACGCGACCCAATGTTGTCGCGCGCCAAAAGGGGGTTTATTTCTTACAAACGTATAATATACAATTGTCGCTACATAAAAAAAAAATAAAGTAACCACAGTACACGTATTGTGGCTTCTTTTCAGTTTTTTTAATATACAGTCCATATTCTTATTATATTTAAGATAAATCTATGACTCCCTTTTAATGCTTGACTGAAATATGATAAACAACGCTAAACATTTTGTCAATCCAAACTGATAATAAAAAAGGAGAGAAAAAACTAACAAAGACTGTTCCTTACATGAGAAGAAAGGCTTAATAAATGTGGTACAGTTGCCGATCAAGGGTGATAATATTCATATTCTAGCATGAATTGGTTTTGGTTTTATTAAAAATGATTTCTATGAGATTTAATATCGAGTAGATGACATAAACGAGATTAATGTCGAGCGCGATTGTGTTACGGCGCGTGCACATCTATGTCACACACGCTTACAGCTATATGCAAATAAATTGAGATTTGGCGGGAAAATGATGTTGTTACGACATTGGATGGCCATCTGCTTATACGTAAAATTTGAATCAAAGATATCACATCGTGATTAATTCATGGTCGGGTGGTTCTGTGTCAGTGAATATGACGATAAAGTAATTTGAGGACCTGATAGCGAAAGGGTCTGAAGAAAGACCTGTTATTTCTATCTTCCTTCAGCCTTTTTTTAATGGGTCTTAATTCTGATTATTTTAACCATCTGGAGCTTGAGAATCAGGTGTCAAACATTTTTAGCGCGAAAAGACTGATGAACGTGTTATATTTTCGCGGTTATTTGTGATTGATGGATAGATATTAAGACAGGTGTATCTTATTTACATAATGATTTTAAAACACCGCCAAATAGCGTGTCCTTCATTTATCAAAAACACAGAAAAAATAAACACCTCGACTCAATTCACTCGACCTATCTACTTGAAAAAAATCCAGAGTGCAAAAATGAACTAAAGATAGTCTAAGCATTGTTTAACTGTTAATTTAGAGAAGAAATCTATTGTAAAGGTACAAATTATAACATAAAAGACTCTAATTGTTTAGTAAGCTTTCGTAATAATATTTTGAAAATCAATAATAGGTTAGAGGGCAGATGGACTTATTCACGCGTACTTATAAAAATATTAGTAGGTATGTAATAATATTGGGCATGTTTTGTATGATGGTGTTAAGACACTAATGAGGTTAATCATAACATTTGATGACGATCTTTATATTACGACACGTTTACTCCTAACTCAGCTAATTTATATTGATATCTGGTTAGCTAATTTATAAAATCTGTGAAATTTTGGCACATTCTGTAATAGTTTCGTGTTGATAAAATTATCATAAATTATCACCTTGATTGGCAGAACAATATTTTGGATACCCGTTTCGAAAAATAAAATGGCCATAGATTTAACGGTATCCAACACATAACATTTTATCTCAAATTTATGACATCCAAGTTCAAAGTGTCGCCCGTGCCGTGCTAACGTTTTGTGGAACACCCGATTCCATTTATCTATTTAACATTTTACGTATGCGAGCCCTGTGTCAAAAGTTTACATTATTTAATTCTAGCATTACCCAAGATTCCTTTCTATCAGTTATTGACTTCGAACATCTGATGCCACTTATCTATTTGTAAAGTTCACATAGCTAACATTTCATTTTCTTTTTTTAAAACATATAATTCAACTATTGATATACATAAAGTTTTGGTCTATGTTTGTATATGCAATCTGTTCCGTAAAAACAGGTAATACAGGTGTGTTATACTTATGTCCTGGAAATAAATATACCCTTCTTTGACTGTATATTCCAGATGGTGTAATTGGTCCATATCGCAACTTTCCATTAATCAAATAAATTATATACGAACAAAATATATTTATAATATACTTTTGTTGTGAAGTCTAGGAAAGGTGTATATTAATATTAGGGAGCGCAGATGGCGCACTTGTCATATAAATTAAGTCGTGTGTCTGTTCACCTTGGATAAATCTGTTTCAACAGGTGGAGTATACAATATAATATACGGTATTATACGACCACTTTTAATAAAAGCTTCAGGGGTACAGGTTAACGGAAAAGCGCGCCAAAATTCACCATTGACTATGAGGGGTATAAGACAGGGTTCTTCTTCTTCGCAAGTCTTCTTCATTCTTTCATGTGATGGAATGGGGTTGCATTTTGACGGGTAACCTTCAGCCATTGTAAAGAAAATAATTGCTCCTTGGTTGAAGACAACATAACTGAACATGTTCCAGGTGCACTGTCTTGTGCATGTTGATATGGTGGCACGCGCCCTTACCCCATATAAGGAAAACGTACCCTACAAAAGAAAGGCAGGTGCATCAACTGTCGGCAGCTGAGAACACAAAGAAACTTTTATGACCCCCATTCATCACACACAAAAACTTGGACCACTCTTTTGATTGGGGCCACGCGACATTCACCAAATTTGAATACATTATCATTTAAACGGGATCTTTAAACTAGTGGGGTAAAGGGGGGAATGTTCAGATGAATGTAGTGACTTAGTAGTGATCACCTCGCACCCAAGGGATTTAATTTTCGCGATATCTTTTTAGCAGTGTTGGGACGTAACTAGCTAGGATCTACAATGAAGGTGAGGGAGGATACTATTCTTTAATTCATGAAAAGACGTAACGGTGCTCGAGACAGTCCGACGACAGTTGGATAGCGGCAGACGATGTCTTAAGAAACTGAAAACAATGGGAACAAAACGGGTACCTGACGGTTAGAGTAACGGTAATCAAGTTGATCCTCCTTGGACCCGCTCATCAAGACCTATTGTTTTACGTTGACCAATTGCTTTATCAGGATTGGCACGCGACTAGCGTTAATTGGTTTTGTAAATATACTAGAGCCGGTACATAAGGCAAGTCGCTCGTATTATCCCTCATTCAATGTACTACTATACTCGTGAGCAGCGCGTGCCGGTTATACTATATTTACTTTACGGACCTTTTTGACAGAAACGTGGATAACCTACTCTCAATATTAAGAATTTGGATTTTATGCAAGGAATAACTTATGTTTGAAATTATTTTGAAGGTTCGTGAAGTTTTACTGGTAAAACTGCTATTTTAATTCCTTTAAAACTCATTGTTTAGTATACCCACGTGTTTAGTTGAAAACGCCGGTTTACCCATGCGTATTGATTGTATCTTTCAGGTTGTCAATCATTAGTGGGTGGAGCTTTGAGCTGGTTGGTTCGAAACAGGCTTTTGTGGACTGAAGCCAAACTTGACTATAACAGAATCAGTGAGACAGTAAACAACGTACAAGATGCGGTCACGGAAAGCGGCGTCGAGTGCCGTGCTCTGGATTATACCAATACTTTCATTAATATCACAGGTAGGTCAAATATTTATTCATTTAAACAAAATTACAAATTAATTTAACAATTAAATGTGATTTAAAGTGGAATTGTTTTTCATCTTGCGTGATACAGATAATGTTATGACGTTTTTCTTTTGAACGTTGTAGTTTACGTTAACGTACATTCGGACGTTATTTTAACATGCTTGCTTTGATTGTTTTAGGTAACGGCGTCAGGGGTGTTTGAATTGAAGTTAACGTCATTCCTAAATGAACATGGACTTAATTATGATGGAAATTGCTGCAATGGTTTACGAACGGGCGGAGTGTGTAGTTCTACATGCAAAACTTTCTTTCGAGTTTGTTTAACCCACTATCAAGCTAAAATCTCAAAAAATCCACCGTGTTCATTTGCAAATATAACAACCAAAGTGCTTGGAAATAATTCTATAAATTTTGATTCGGATTTAGCTGCGGATTTTATTAACCCTATACAGTTTAAGTTCCAGTTTTCATGGCCGGTAAGTTCCATTTTACGTTCTTTGTCGACTAGAAAGTGAACCTGTTTGCATCCTCTCTTGGCATCCTTCGCTGTTACAATTTTATCTATTTTTAACTGATGCACCTAATTCTTGTAATGGAATACAAATTTTAACCATTGCACCTTGTTGGTTAATAACAATATCGATTAGTGTAAGATATACTGGTAAACCTATATATGCAATGTACAGTATGCAATTAACAAACATCAGATATGCAATTAAACAATGCAAATCATGATTATCGCTTGCATAAGTCTGTAATTAAATATTGAAATCGTGTTTGTATGTAAATATATATAGATAAGGTAAACTTAGATAACGAAAATTCAATACATAATTGATAATTGCATACTTCTTTGTCTTTATAAAACAGTGGAATATATAGATACACACATAGGTATATATAGTATATGTATATACCTATAGAAGTGGTATTCTTGTTGACTATAGGCTGTTATTGATTTTTTTTAAAACTCTGTATGAAAGAGAGCAACAATTGACAACAGCTTGTGTTCATTGAAAACATGCAAATTGTATTTAACCTAACTATATCTTTTACTCTTTATTTACAATACCTGAAATAGTAAACACAACGAATTTACCTTGAAATTAGAACAACCCGATATCAAGGCAGTTATAATTTAGGTTAATAAAGCTATATTTTTGGTATTTCTGTCTTAGTCTACAAGTTAGTGCACGTATGCTGGTAATTAGCCGAGAACATTTTCCTTCGTTAATACGAACATTACGTAAAAAAGATGACACTGGCTTTGATGCTATTTGCAGATATGTTATTGATTAGAAATAGTAGTATATAGGGAATTATGTAGGTTAGAATACACCAATGGTAAAAGCATGCTATATTCTCAAGGCTTAACTTTAACTCCCATTTCACCCTGGTTTTATTTCTCTTTCAGGGCTCATTTTCTTTAATTATTGAAGCCTGGCATGATAGCACGCTTCATGGCCCAGTACAAGGTAAGGCCATTGTAGTTTTATTACTTATTGCCTGCATCTACATGTATACCATTCCATAAACTGATATATGATGATATCTGTTTGGTATTTATCAATAGTTGTTTTACATGGCACAAAACAAGTCATATACAAACGTGTTCAAACGGGAGTAGAGGTCACGTCTGTTGGTCTTCAGTTATTGCCACTGATAGCAGCAGCTAAATTCAGAAGACGCTACGGTTTTGTTTTTAAAAAAAGCTAGTTAATTAATTCTATTTCATTGTTTACGTAATTTATCAAGAACAACTGTAACTTGAATTATGAGATATGAACAATGAGATGTTCTAAAAAGTTTTAACCAACTTCAAAAGGTTAATGAGAGCGACACGCGCCGAGGTTGTTCCTAAGATAACCAGCACCCAGGCCTGTGTTGTGTTACACTCTGCAATAAAGGATATGTTTTAAAGTCAAGTCGAGAGCAGCAGACAAAAAATCCAGGCAGTAGATGAACTTATGCAAGAAGATATGTTAAACCTGATAGCCGAGACAAGACATGAGTTAACAGATGCGTTGCTCGTCGACTCGACTGAAGCAGAGTGGAGTTTTCAGTGTTTTAATTTACAGATGTACACCATCTGTTTTAGCTATTTTGTGGTCTTAACTTCGCTCTTCTAGTCAGTATGGTTCGTTAGCCAATCTAGTCCATCAAAAGAGAGCGTTGCGTTTTCTTTCTAATAGATCTTGGTAGGAGGCTTGCGAGAGAGAAAAATCCTCGCCACAAATACTAATGGCACTTTTCTTCGTTTGGTTTTAAGCTAGACCCAAACTTGTAGAGTGAATACCAGCATGCCGAATAATTTCCAAGAGTTTTTGCTAACATAAGACACAAGTATTAAGCCATTAGTTTAAGTCAATGCTGATTGTCTGCTATGGATGTTCTACCTGTCTGTTTCTTTTCAATAGCCACCACAGTTCATAGAAAACGATCAATTAAGTCAATTTTCCCATGAAGTTCATAGATTGCTTTATCTAGTTATTCTAGTAGCTTCCATCGTTGACTGTTTAGAATATTAACTTATTATTAAACAAATGCAAATATACGGTTGCTAGGTTAGTTATAGTGTCGTAATGATGCAAGTAGGCCTTATAACGCGAAGTAGCGTTCAACATGATTCTATGAAACACGGGCCACAAATTCCAGGCCAGTCTAAGCAAACCATTGAAATTATAATCAAGAAAAAAAATCGCTATGTGAAACGTTACCAGCTGCCGTACAAAAAACCTTAGGTCCTACTGTTAATAACATTATTTTGATTTTTTTTTAAATCATGAGTGTGGAAATGCATGCGTTATGCCACACCTCAGTGTTTTAGGTCATTGGTCATGATACAAACGTGTGTTATTTTTCAGTGAACAGCCATTCATTGCTCTGTATTTTTGGCACTTAGTGATTGCATTTTAATTATGCAATTACAGATTGTTCATTATTGTAATGCGTTATACTGCTGGCTACAGCTGTGTCGTTTTGGATTATAAATAGAGTCGATAGAATATAGCCAACGTGTTATTGCTACATGACAATGTGTTATTTGGATCTGAAATGTAACAGATCCTAATTCAGTTATCAGTTCAAAATCTACAATTCAATGATAACTGGATTTTAGCAATGATGAATGCATGCTCACGTTGATACATGTAAGCAAATGTAGCGGCGCAACATGGTGCATAGTAATTCCATATTTAAGATACGAAAATACCAACGTATTTAGAGTACATGAACTATTTTAAGGCTATAAAACACCCAGAAGTTGTGATTGTCCGGGTCTGTGTAAATGACAGGTGCGGCCACTGAATGTATTCTCACTACTATCTCTTAACATAACCTTCCTTTTGTTCACAAAACACTACATCGAGGTTAACCTAGAGCAGACGATACAAATGTGCAGTTCGCGGGAAAGCACTTATCATTTTATCTACCAAATTTTAAACCTAATGACTTATATTAAGCTACAATATATATTTCAACTTAAGGTCCAAGGTAGCCACTCAACGTGTTGGTTTACAGGATTTGATTAGGTCTTCTCTGTGTTAAGTCGGACATTGTGTTGGTAGACCTTTGTTGACAATGACAGCTGACCCCTACTCCTTCTTTGACCCCATAAAAGCTGTATAAGGGGATTTTCCCATGGGTTGGGGTGGTTAATGTAAGAACCCAGTTATGGCTGTGTTGTCCAAGTTAGTTCCCCGTTCTCTTTCACAATGGCGTCGTGAGATGGTATTAATTACCCCTAGGTTTATAGTGAATGCTTTTCAAGCTACCTGACACATCCTACTATCTCCTCAAACCCTGAGAAAGTTGAAACCTGATAGCAGAATACAGAAATAAAATGGCGTAATATATCATAAGCTTGGACGACATAGCAGATCTACCAATTTTGATAAACCAGCGACTCGGTAACACAAAACAACAACTGGAGAGAGGGGATCATAACAATAAAGTGACACGTCAGTCAAAACAATCTAAGATAAAACAAAATGCATCCATGTAACCATTAAATTCTACTTGCAAGATTGTCAGTAGCTATTCGTTCATATTAGACTGTTGCATTAATGTGCTTGTACAACCATGCATACAATTTATATTGACAACAATGTGCCTTGTTATCTAGTATTGATTTGCCATTCTCTAAATTGTTCTGTTTTCATTCTGTCGTTTGTAATGTTCAAATTGTTTTCTAGAATTACAAATTAATGATCTGAATTTTTTCATTTGCAGACAGTCCTAGAGAGTTGATTTCTCATTTGCCAGTTCAGAGATCAGCCGAAGTGAGCAAAGATTGGTATTCACTATCACTTAAAGATCTTTACAGGGAAATTAAATATAGTTATCGTATCGTGTGTGACAAAAATTATTATGGAAGTGGGTGTTCTGAAATGTGTCGCCCTCGGGATGACCAGTTCGGGCATTATACTTGTAGTGTCAATGGAACTAAAGTTTGTTTGGATGGCTGGACTGGGGAGTATTGTGAACAGGGTAAGCTAGTGTTATTAATTATTATTTTCATTATTTATTAATTCTATTGAAACACGTGTGCGTTGCTTGGGGTACACGTCACTGTTTTGGTGTATGTGTCAAACATGGAGGACAGACTTGCAAAGTTCGTTGGATACAAATTTAATTCGATTTAATTACAACAATTATGGGTCATTATTGCGCGAAAGACGCAACAAATTAGTCATATCAGATGACACGTTTGCCAATTATTCTGGATTAACTTCGTCTGATTTATATGTTAATTAAATTGCTACGACATTAATCTGTGAAAATTGGTTTTCAACAGATGCCTATCTTATTGTATAGCAAGGCCATAACACCAAATAGTAGCCGATTATTAAGGTGTTAATCACACGTAGGTAACAACTGTAGGTTACAAGTGTTTCTTTTGGGATTTACCAACGACTCTGAAGTGGCCTCTGTACTTTTGGATAATAGGCGTCAATCAGAATAGTTTGTAAGCTATCCAAGTTAATTAGTTGAATTACTGTAGCAGATACTACCTAATGGCCACTGTACGAGGTTTAGGAAGTGAAATCGCACCCAAAAATTGATATTAGTACATACACATTAGAAATACAACCACTAAAATCACGAATAAACATCAAATCTAATACTGGCAACATGCTTTGTATGTACAGGTAATATGCGTACATGTACGGTATAGTTTTCACCAAGTGTTCAGAAGATAGGCTTGACACACATCAATATTTTCCCACAAGTCTACATCTCGAATCGGGGCCATCTGCTTGCTTGATCGGGATTCGTCCTGAAAACAAGTGTGTCTTTCAGTAACATCGTATAGTACCTTTTATTGTTCCGCGCCATCATTCATAAACTTCTCTTCTTTTAGACAATGTCAGTGGTATGCATGACTGACTTCTTATCTGAAATACGTGAACATCTATAATTCGGTACGTGTTGTACAGCTTGCATGGTCTACCCTTAAACCCTTACAGAATATTTCGATTTTTAAAAACCACATGCTTTTCATCTACGTTGAAATAAATTGATCCTTTTGCCCCACAATACAGAGAGGAAAAAGTTCGGATCGATAGGCCTATAGTATTAAAGTGCTTTTTGTGTTAAATTTGAGTTTGGTGGCGTGTGTGTACCAATTAACATAACAAAAAGTTAAATTCATTCTTTAGTGCTCAGGATCGTGCCGGAGATTCTAATTTTTGTAGCATTTGAAATGGACAAGAATAAATTATGTGTGTATAGGATACCAGTAATGACATTATGATAAATTGTGGTTCATTATTTTTCTGTCAAAACATTTGCTTAATAATGAAAAATTAAAATTAGGTCATATTTTGAAATTTACCTGAGCAGAGATATACATGGGTAATTTGTACTCGGGTACAGACAGGTGTTTTAGTCGAGCCCCTCCTTGTAGGCAATGCTGGTTGAAATTCTTAAATTCCTTAACAAATTTAAAAGGGGTGTGGGCCAAAATTAAAAGATTGGCCCCTGGGATGTGTCGAGTTTTTGGTCAGTTTAGGCAGCTGTTCAGATTCCGATGTAGCCATGGACAATACAATGTAATATGAACAAAGAAAGCAGATGCCTGGTTGACCATTGAATACTCAGCTGTCCAGACACCCCGACCTAAAAACAAAAATGACAGCTGCTCACTTTAAAAAGTTTGGACATCCATAAAACTAGGATTAATCAAACAATTTGTATCCAACTTTGCCAAGCAATAAAACATACATTTCATTAAAATTATCAACTCTATTCGATTATTTGTTGGACTACCCGTGGAGATTGTATGGGTAGTTGTTTAGCTTTTATTTACTAGTTGTTATCTGGAATCTAATTAATCAATTCTGACACGTAGAGAAATAGTGGCATGTATTAATTATGAAATATCATTTAATAACTGTTCATATTGTCAGAATTCATGTACTACAATTATTTATTTCATGGATTGTAAATGATTTTATTTTTGGTTACAGCAATGTGTTTACCTGGTTGTCATCCAGACCACGGATATTGCGACAAACCGAACGAATGCATGTAAGTGTTTTTTCATCTATTTATCAAATTGCTCCAATCATGATAAAATTAAGATATTTTGGTGTCTAGAAAGCATCGCAATCCGTATTTGACCTTTAGGCTTCCGTATTTATTTATTGCTAGACTGGAATCCTAGGGGAAGGCTAATCAACATGCCAACACCCCGCCTGTTTTGCAATTCTGGCAGGTTCATCAGAGCATTGAAGGATATCGACAACAATTTCTGCTCGTCTAACGGTAAATAATGGACGAATTGGGCAATAAATCTCCAATTGGACTATTGACTATTTATGTCTATTGGTTGTTATGACTTAGCCAGTCCCCAAGGAATATATAAACAAGATGGTGTATGTTTGTGTATGGTTGTATGTTTATTTATGTTAGTACCATGTTAACAAATGCTACTATAGTCTGTTTACGATATTAGTAACAAACTATAAAGTGTGGAAACCGACCATCCTATATCTTAATATTGGTTTCAAATGGAGTGACAAATTGATTAAAAAACTCAGTTTGTTGATTTTTGGCCTTGCAATTTGTATTTTATAAAGCCCTTAAGGGCCAACTATTTTTTCTCTTTGAGATTTGAGTATATGAATTCAACCATGGAAATAGTCTACCATTTTTCTAAAGAGTTCCAATACAATGCTTAAGGCAACATTACGCATTTTCTTAAAGTATATATCTTTTACATGATTGACTAAATTTAATTACTTATATAGACCCCTATACAAATAAATTTCTCAATGTATCAACCTCATCAGGTGATACTAAGAGCTTACTATGTAGGTAGTAGGTATATTTATATAAGTTATTAGTAATGCTACAGGTGTTTAAAAATCGTACTTTGATAATAGTGAATATAGGTAATAGGTAACAATAGACCTAGGTTTAACATCCTTTGTTTGAATAATGACTTGTATTAGTATACTATAAGTGTGCTATACGTCTTTAATTACTTACATTGATCTATTATCTTTACCTACATGTATATGCACTTGGTTTTACATGCTAAGTAACTACTATTATTATAAGCTTTTTTTTGTATTATTTCAGCTGTCGTCTCGGTTGGCAGGACAGATTTTGTGATGCCTGTATCCCATATCCTGGATGCCAGCATGGCTCGTGTTCAAAACCCTGGGAATGCAATTGTGAAGAAGGGTGGGGCGGGTTGTTCTGCAATCAAGGTAAATATATATTCCTGCTGCAGTAGGTCAGATCAGCTTGCTCTTTTAGAACTTTCTTCCTGCAAGTGCCAACTTAAGATATTCGTGTAGTGTTCAATAGTATGAAGTCTTTGGGCATTATGCCTCATATTATGAATCAATTAAACTAACAAACAGACCCGCGTCTTTTAAAGTACGCAGAAATGACTTCAACAAGGCAGAGATAGGTCGATCAATGAAATGTATTATATTATACTCAATTATTGATCCCTTCTTTCTCTTTTACTTTTTTTTCTTGATCAATGATAAAATAGACATAAGGAAACACAACACAAATTTAACTCTTTACTTTTCACACCACAATAACATCAGATTTATACATAAGTAATTCTTGTATTAAGACATTGAGAAGGAAACAATACGTATTATATACACTGTATGCATACAAACATGTAAATTTATGCTTAATATGCAAGTTCCATCATGTCGCCCAGTTGGTGGGTTTATTGGCATATATTGATCGGAGAATTAGGAACAATAGTCATATATAACATAACGTGACAAGAAAAATACAAGGCTTTCCTTAAGACGTACAATCAGTATTAATACTCGCTTAGAGGCGCTTTCCAAACTCTGATGATTCAAGGCTGGTCCATGTCATTGAATTGCATACAACTGATGTTACCTCGTTTAGATTTGTTAGACACAATCGTTTTACAAATGATGTTGACTTCCATATGAAATAATCGATCTATTTCAATAATTGATTGAGTGTCTGCATAATATTCATGGTTGCATAAACTAACTTGGTATCCTCCTCCCAAGTGAATAATGTTTTGATTTACGACAATGTCAGCACATTACAACATTAAGTCACATTAGAAGAGAAAAGTTTGTCATGTATTAGAAGTGTAGTCAACCGTTAAATTTGTTATTTTTGACTTCCATTAAATTAATGAAGCCCGTTTATTTATAAACCAATTATTTGGCCGTAAAAGTCCATTTAAACTCTCGATTTTTATGATTTAATTTTGGTTAATTCCAGATCTTAATTATTGTACCCATCACAAGCCATGTAAAAATGGAGGAACCTGCACCAATACTGGTGAAGGAAGTTACACGTGTACCTGTCCTCCAGGATTTTCTGGCACAAACTGTGAGATCGAGTATGATGATTGTGAAAAACAACCCTGTTTAAACGGAGGCAGTTGTAAGGTAAGGGAGTTGATTATTATTACTTTTACCAAATTACTACCATAATGTTAAAGTCGGCCATATTGTTTTATAGGCCTTGTGTTTGGGATTAATGTAATTTAAATAATTGTCATCCATGATATATTAATAATGCATTTATTTATTATATTATCGTTTAATATTAACAGGATATTGGAAATGGATTTAGATGTATGTGTGACAAAGGGTTTTACGGACGATCATGTGAACATAAGGCAGATTCCTGCAATAAGGCACCTTGCCAAAATCAAGGCACCTGCGTCGAAGGTGAAGGTTCCTATACATGTATTTGTGATGCTGGTTATTCAGGACAAAATTGTGAAATGGAGATTAATGAGTGCGATGAGAAGCCATGTTTAAATGGTAAGTAGGAAGTTTTTTTTGGTAGTTCGATTTTTTTTTATTGCCTTTAGTGCTTTTTTATTGCTTGCCATAGAAAAATGGAACGACCGATCAATACATGCATGATTTGAAACTAGTATAGTTTTATGGTGCAATTAATATTCCAAATGGGATTCCTACTGTATAAGTTGCCATAAAACAACCATAGCAAGTCACACGGTGCGTGATGCTTCAAATTGTTGTAGATTTTAAATTAGAATTAATCAACATCGGTCATTCTTAATGCAAAGATTAGAACACAAATCGAGTAAAGTGGCGTGGTTCGATTCTAGCCCCGTGGGTTTTCTCCGGGTAATTTGGTTTCTTCCCACTGCAAAAGACCCCCACGCGCAAGCGAATTATTGAAATAGCATTGAACCATATTATATTAGTCCAAAAATGACCTAGTTTGTGACAAGTGGACGTTAATCCCCATTTTTCTCTCTCTCTCTCTCTCTCTCTCTCTCTTAGTCATTGGTCGGGAAGCTACATATTTTGAGATATTTCATAAAGCGGAGAAAAACTTGTCAATAATGAAATATGATTGAACATGTGTTACAATGTTGGTATATTATTATATGTATTTGTAGTTAAAGCTATAATATACCATTACTAATAACATGACGAAGTAATACAATTTGATGATAGGTTGTAACTGGAATTTAAACAATTTAAATACAAAACAATCATAAATGACTTTTTCATCGTAGAAAAATGTCGGCAGGTGACATGGAAACCGTTATGTACAATCCGATGCTAATTTAATGTGTTATTAACACGTAAATACAGGAAATTGTGGTCTCTTGTTAGTACAAATCAATGAATGACAATGAAATGTCCATCTATTGTCCACTGTGCTGGTCAATACTGGTAGCTGTCAAGAAGCTGTCCAGTCTTAGAAATAATCATTAATGGCCGATCGTTTAGAATGAAGATAAAGAGGTATTCAATGATAACATGTCACTACTAATAACGATTAATCTTCCACTTACAAGATACTAACCAGAACACTTGTTGACCAATCCCATCAATTGGTCAAATGTTAACCATATTAGTTCAATCATTATTGACCTTTATGGATGATATTGTCTATGTTCAAAATGCACCATATTAATTTTCTTCTTGTTTTGAAATTTCAGGAGGTCGTTGCATTGATCAAAGAAATGGTTTCCGCTGTTTGTGTACTACAGGATTCGAAGGACCAACGTGTTCTGATAATATCAACGATTGCGTTCACAATCCCTGTCAAAATGGAGGTACCTGCATTGATAAAGTTAATGATTACCAGTGTCGGTGTCGTCCTGGATTTGTGGGTTCACTTTGTACGGATAATGTGGATGATTGTCTGATTCGGCCATGCGCAAACGGTGGCACGTGCATTGATATGGACAATACATTCAAGTGTACATGTGCTGACGGTTTCGCGGGAAAAGATTGTCGCGTTAATGTCGACGATTGTGCCAATTCTCCATGCCGACACGGGGGCAACTGTACGGATTTAGTGGCTGATTTTAAATGTGCGTGTCCTGAAGGATTTTGGGGTAAAGAGTGCCATGTATACGAGGGTATGCCCCCTATACCGGAATCGACCCAAATTACTACACCAACCACAATTGAAACAACCGCCGAAGAAACCACAGTGCAAGTTACCGAGGAGGACGTTATTCCTATTCACGGAAACGCTAAAAACTCGAGCCCCAATTCAGCCCTGTCTAATTCCCAGTTACTTATTGTAGTGTGTCTGGGAGTTGGAATCCCCCTTATTCTCATCATCATTGTTGTTATAGTGCTATTGTGTAAGAGAAAAAACAATCTGATGCGCCATAACATGGAGACAGAAAAAGAACAAAACATAGTGAACAATATTAATAATAAGTGTATAGACTCAAATATCTTTACTACAATACCACCAAATAGCACGGGCAGTGCAAGTATTAAAATAAACAATGAAGATAAAGACTTCGCCCATAAAAAAATAAATAAAAAGCAAAATATATTAGAAAAATCGAGCCAGAAACAGTTTATTAAAGACTATAATACACACGAACAATTATATGGGTGTAATAGAGACAGTGAAAGGGAGGAGTATGAAAAAGCGCGTAAGCGTTTAGACGTGGAATCTCTTTCTGCTGATACTAGAAAAGATAATAGGTAGGTATTTATTGTGATGCTTGTTTAAGTTTACCATTTCTGTATTCAAGTTTTGATCGACTTAACGTCACAAATGTCCGATTTGTCATTCGGTCTTTTTGTATGCTAGTCGTGGCAGAAAAAGGGGATATAGAAACCATGGTGCGAATTATTTAGAACGTTTCTGTACCCTACACTTAAAACAATACAGGTATTTCTTTAAAACATGACGTCATAGTGGTTCTAAAATGTGAACACAGAATGTGTATATGTTATTGTGTATGATATTAATATGTTGGATGGTGGCCCAATATATTTACTTTGTTTTGTTTACTCTTAGAAAGAACAGGTGGTCGACTACATATAAAAATACACCTCATTAAGTAACTAGGTGCAGTAAGAGAATACTATATAGTCATATTACTATGGCGTATTGATATTTTCATCTAACCCTCTACTGAACATAATTTATTATCGTTATTCAAGTCTATTATGATACAATATCCGGCTTTGTTATTGTGCAGTCGAATCAAGATCTTTGAAACAGATTTGTAAATCCGAGGCAATCAATAATTTGCTAAATAATTTCAAAATCTTAAATAAGTCAATCCAAACATTATTGCTTCATATACAATAACGTTTCTTTGTTGGACCGAATTACTTATATAATAACAACGAACAGAAAGTCTACGCAGTTGATTTGCAAGTGATAACGACGTAATGTAACGTGCAGTTGTGTTTTGATGATGTTGTGCTTGGCTATCTTTCTGCGTTCTGTTATGATTCGCCCAACTTTCTCACTTAATTCACACGTTTTTACTAAGCATCATTTGTTAGATTGCTGGCATCCCTGTCTGTTCTCTTGGAATAGATATTGGCTCAGATCCTATCTGTTAAAATATTGTGCTTTTATTAGGTGACCCACTTCTGCCCATAAAATATATATTTATTAAAATTATTGATTGGGTTCTTTAATGACAAAATATATCTAATAAATTTCTTCTTTTCTCTTTTCAGTGATTATTCGTGCAGTTCACAAGATATTCACGTTATCGCAAAGCCAATAAAACGCGAAAATAGAAACTCTATATTAGTTTTGGAACAAAAAAGGCATCATTATTCAGAAGAAGTGCTTGCAACAGAAGTGTAATAAATACCATCCGAGGGCATTGTTATATATAAATATATATACAGATTCGTATAGTGCACATGACTAATAACAATATATTACATTAATATATATATATATAAATTATATATAAAATTATATTCTACTTGTGTGTATGGATTTATTTAAGTGCCTTGCTGTTTAAAGATGCAAACCAATTCATTTTTTTGTGTATGCTGGATATTTTTTTAACTATTAATTTGAACTTAAATATACTTGTATACCGGCTTCAGGCCTTGTACATTATGCAAGCTTTTCCCGAGAGGCTGTACTATATCGTGGCTAACAGGCGTCACAAGATTAAAGGGCACGGACTAATAATCTTAACCAGGTGATTCCAAATAAGGAATGCAATTCCAACGCACACAGCAAAATGACCACTTAATTAAATAACCATTGGACCAATAAAGTGAGATCTTAAACATTATCAACATCACTGCCGTTGCATTGTGCTATTTTCATTACGTCAGTCATAAAGAGGTGTGTTCACGAATTATCATTGTTTAAAGTTTAAAAACAATCGGCAGATGAATTTATATCATTTTAAACTTCTATTGCATTTTGTGTAGTTTGTATTACACCACAAATATTTAAAAAAAACCTGTGCAATTTGTCATGCCCTCCCGTCTTGTAAAATACCAAAATGGCAGCACTTGAAGTGGTGGGTTACCAAGCGACCCAACGCTCACGGACAAAACAAAGGTGTCTATATAACTGAAACTAGTCCAATGTTTGTTATATGTAAAATGTTATGTGTTTGTTTATATTTTACCAGATTCCAAATTTGGTTTAGTGTTGAGGCTGTAAATGATTTTTGCCTGGTCATGTGATCGACCACGTGACAACATTAATTTATTTTTTACTGCTGTGTAAAAAGCATGATTTATATTACTCCGCAAATTACTTGCTTAATCTCTCACTTTACTTAAATTATTTAACTGGAATATGCTTCTTCCTTATTCTATATTATTATCTGATGGGTTTGAACAAACATTTCAAAATGGCTGATTTCGAGATTTCAAAACATTGGGCACATGTTATCAAAAACGTTAATTATTTCACTTTTGGACCAGATAATTGTCAAACATTAAAATTCATTTTCAGATTTGAAACTTCTCTGTAAGTTAATTACCTGTCTTCAAAATAATTTAAAATAATATTTATTCTTCCCATCATTCCATTGTCTACATAAGTGTCACATGATATCCATATTTATCACCTGTCTCCACGTGTTCGTCATGTGACCATACATTAAGAGTTTCTGACCCCAAGATCTTGTTTTTCATTAAGTTTGTATTCTATCTGTCTCTTGTTAAGTTCAGGTACTTCAAAATTTAAGAATGAAAAAAGAAGGAAACGATTTGTTGAGTTTAAGTTATCAAATAATTGTTCGAATGTTGTTAAAAGAAACATTAGTTATTTTTGTTTTAATTTGATAATTATTTGTTTATCTATTATTCTATGACAAATTCTGTATTGATTTTTAAAGAAAACTAGAAAAAAATGTTATTTTTAGAAAAAATCACTTGTTAAAATTTATTAAATTTTGTTCAATTATCGTTATTATTTTCCTTAAAAATATTAAAAAGGGGTCAAAAATTCACGCAAATCAAATCATATCTTCATTAACCTGACATTTTGTACGTACAAATTTTGTACATGGATCATGTCTATCATGTTGTCTGCCTGTGTGTATGTTGTGAGTGTAGTGTGTGAGTGAAATGAAAAGATAACTGTGATGTTAACATGTATATAATAATATGTATATTTATAGTTAAAATGAAGATGTAAATAATTATTGTTACTACTTCTATACCATTATTACTATTTCCAACATTATGAATAAAGAGGTCACAATTACCTATTTTTGAACATTCAATTTGAATCTTTGTCAATTTGTTTGCAATACAGAGACTAATGAATATATATATATATATATATTAAATTGGATGCGGATTAGAACAAAGGCATAAACGTACTCCTATTATTAGCATACCAGATATATGTATATATAACTGGTATCTTTCCATAACTTCGGTCCCTATGCATGAAAACGTCACCTAAATATATCAAGAATATTGATGTTCCATGGCTAAAATCATAGCACCAATTTTAGCTCTTGCCCCATAAGGAGTCTGCTTTCTTCAAATAGGATACATAATAAGACCCTAGTCATTAAGAGGGCGCACCCCAGCTTTGGGTTCTTTAATCTGGCATTTAGTGAAGAATCATGAATTAGGCTCAAATTTGGCAAAGGAAAAAATATCAGAGGCTGAATTCATAACGATGAGGATTCGCTCGGATTCCCCTCAATCAAGGAGTGAAGACTTTCTGGAACAGTTATTTGACACAAACCCGGTAACAAACCCGAGCTAAGATTACCATGGATAGGCGTTAATAATCCCCTATACCGATCTTGCATAAGTCTGTAATGAAAAGGTGGTTTCCAGTCTCCCCTACTAGTGGACGCATGTAATGAAGACCTTACAATCTGCAAACAAGAACTGTTATTCCGATTGTAGAAAAATGAGGCAACGGGTTGAACTAGCAGAAATGGGATATACACCTCCTGATCACCTCTGTGCTCCTTTTGGATAGAACCTGTGTGTGAGATTCTCGGGTGATCAGAAGCGCCGCACTGTTTATCGAAGTTCCTCTTGTTAGTGCAGCAGGGCGGATGGTCTGGCTATCAAGAGCACCTAGTCGTTCTGATTGTCCGAAAACCTGAGGTTCCTTTTATCTCATCGCCTAAATGTTAAAGATCTCCAGACGTAAACTTCCCTTACTCACACACTGCATGGGGTATACCCGTCTACATTATCTCGGTTGGTGAAGACGTTAAACCCTATTACATTTCATTTACTCGAGTGAAGACGATCCTTCGACAGGGATAAACACCAATTTCTAACTTTCTCGATGATTTGATTAACAAGATAACTCATTCTCTGTTTAATACATTTACTAAACATTTATATAACAATACAGCATAGATAGAAACCTCCAAAAAATAAAATGCTAGTTTTAAGTATACAAATATAAATAAAGAGCATCATCCCACAGTATCAGTAGTACCGTAGTGTGACCATCAATCATATTATACAACAGTTGACATTGATGACCAGTTGACCATTGATGACCATATATCTGATCGCTTAATGATATGATTCTTTCTTTACAATGGACAATGGTCATACATAATCTCTGATCCACGATGGAAAGAAAATTCTTACATTTTACAAATATCTTTGTTTAAAACAAGCAAAGATTTCAATGTCGGGTTGTCATCGGGTTTTAATGTCAATATGACCCGTCAGGTAAAACGTGCCTAAAAGAGTGGTCTCACGTGCAGCGTGGGATACGTCATCGTTAAACAATGGCGGCGCTGGTGATATGAATAATAGGGATGTGAACGGGATTAACTAAAGAATTGTCGATCTTAATTGCCTTAAGGGGATTTGATTTTCAGCTCTTGAAGCCGTAGTGGAGTGTATTTCTCATGTAGTTTAAACATAATGATAATATCTGGAGTATTCGGGTAGCCGTTATAAGTGGACTAATAATGATATCATCAAAGAACAACACACCGCCATGTTTGAAAAGGAATAAAAATCCTTTCCTTCACGACGATATTCAAGTATCAAAAAGATTTGCGAATGGGAAATCTTTTAGCGCCAATAACAAACTACTTAGATAATGTTTTGTTTGTTCGTCGATTTTCTCACAATTTGGATTCCGGCTTCTCACCTCATTATGAAAGGCTGGGTTAAAATTTCCTTTTGATGACCAATTAACAAACTTAATATATACTACACATCTCCAGTGCTTGAATAGATTGTATTCATGTATGGAGACTGTACCCAGTTTGATGTTTCATTTTTCGAAGGGGTATTCACAATTTTCATAGTTTTAAATATCGAGAGTTATGTATGTTTTTTATAATCCTTTAGTGGCATTTAGCGATTGGAAACATTGCAGAACTAACACAGTTATATGGGACAACAATAGACCTTCCAGTTTACTAAATGTCTACCTTGGTGGAAGCGGACGTTAAAAAGAGGTATTTCACACACACACACACACCCACACACGCACACTAAATGTCATTGTGCTTGATAACGATGAGAGAATACTTATCGAAACGTCGAAAAAATGTCGATGGCATATACAACATGAAGATCTGAAAAGTTGTACTCTAAGGTCGTATCAGAGGTCGTACGAGCGGCTTTTGACCTATGACGTCAGACATTGATTAATCAATCAGCGTTGACGTTTCTAGTGGTTTACCCATAGTTCCGTGCATGACCAGCCAAGAAGTCGCCGTAACAGACTGTTTCATTGGCTTATCCCTCAGTTCAACCAAAACGCCGGTAATATAAAAACTCTTCCAGATCCTAGTGTAGTAAAGACAAGTAAAATAAAATTTTGAACTATAAAAAAACGAAACGAAATAGGGACTGAACGTCGTGCTTGTGTATAAGTGATTGTTGTCCCATATAACTGGGTTAGTTCTGTTATGTATGTTTTTCATGTGATACTCAGTGAATCCAAAGTTCATTTTCTGGATTTGGCTTTAATCTTATCTTTGTTTAATTTTATCTTTGTAATTTTTAGTATACCGGCTTCTGTAAATATACAAGGCTGTACCAATAAAGTATGGCACGTGTCAAATTAAAAACATGTCATATTGTTATGTATGGCCAAACAGAACACCATGGGACAACTTATAGATGATCAAAAGCGTGACTAATATTGATACAATACGATAGGCCTATAATAGATAAGGCCTTTATCGCGGTACATATGTTTTGATGTTTATGATGCAACAATGGGTATTTATAATACATTGCATCATTATTTTTGTAAACAGATTAACCCACTCTATGTAAACAATATATGCGTAGCATATATACACAGCGTGTTATCTATTTTTGTCATTTATATCGGTAAGAAATAATCTCCAAACAAAATACTCTCTGAACAAAATAGCAAAGCAATCTTATCTTCATCACTCCAATAACAGCTATAATTTCTCTTGTTTAAGACAAAACCTAGAGAGCACAGAACTATGTATTATAATGGAATGATTGATCAAATTACTACGCATTTTTACAGCTACAAGATAAAATCATTCTACTTCCGGTTTAGGTCGCGTGTTATAAACAATAAGTAAATTGTAAAGTAGTACTTATGCTCAACACGCTCCATGTTGTGTTATTAATAAAAATCTAAAATATCTTAATACTCTACATGATGGTTCCAGTCTGTCGCTTGTAAAGCAAAAGGATCCGGATATATTGCATTGGATGAAAATGGTGTCAATGCTGCTTCTGGTTTGTCAGTCAGGAAGAGGAATAGCGCGAGTTTTAACAGGGAATAAAAAGGCGGTTACGTTACAGCAGATCTGGCACCAATTCTGCTTGCAGTACAAATTAATACTTTATTATCATTTCTGTCTAAATGTGACTGTACAATCTGGATTCCCCAACACTATTTCTACCACTAAATACCAAGTTCAGATCCCATTTATAATGTGTGTCATTCGAGTTAATTGAACTGTTTTCCAGTGTCCTCAATTATTACTAGATCAGTAACACCGATTGACAAGTTCTGATAATTCAGATAAACACGTGACAAAATCCGGCTTACTGATTGACAGACACTAATCATGCCGACAACACGGTGCTTTTATGACATGAAAGGCACCTAGAATTCGTTCCCATGTGAAAAGGGTTTAACTTTGCACCCGCAGCCATAAGCCCATACTTCCATTTGTACATGATTCTTGACACCAGAAGAAATCTTGTGCAAAATCTTTGAATTTTTGATAACATAGATTCTTATCTTTGTGAGTAGGGGCCTATGTAATTTACAATATTTACCTGACCAATAAGAACTGTATCGTGTCAAAACGTAAACGGCCGAAGTGTGGCTTTTAGTTAATCTGATATGGCCAGAATCCAGTGTCATCTAAATAACACACTCGGGTTAGAAAGGATAAGAATTACTAAATAACAGGAAAATAGACAACACAGGTCAAAAGGGATAAGAATTATACCAGAGTTACTAAATAACACGGGTTAGACAGGGTGAGAATGCCGTCAGAGTAACTAAATTCAACGGTACCGTAATGGACATTCCCATACCTCTCCATGTATGGTCGATTAGTATTTACTTATTAAAGCTCGTGCCCAAAATTCTACCGCAAAATATGTTAAATATAGTAAGCAGTCTGTTACCTCTTTACTATAGACTTATCTACAAGTCTTACTATAGTCCTATAGTAATGGTGGTGATAAAACACAACTAACTACTACAAATTATATCATTTAATGGACTAGAACGTTTGTCTTCGTTGCTCAATTTTCAACCAGCCATTTTAGTGTATCGTTTAGCAATTTCAATGTATTGTGAATAGTAAAAGGCGATCAACAAAAGGTTGATATCAAAGAACATCACGGGTACAAATGGGCGATCAGAACACAAAAAACAATCTGTTTCATTACACATAAGTAGTTGTTGTGATGTTATTTGTCAACTACATCTGTGGCCTTACTCAGATCTATGATTTTATGACAACAAAACAGTAATAGAATTCGGCTGAATCGATGATAAAATTAATCTTTCAAAGAATAAAAAGGACCGAAATTCATACAAAAATAATGTGAAAGAATGAACATGTTAAACGTTTCAATGGTGCATTTCGTGTTCCAGAAAGGTCATAATTAGATGAACAGAACCTGTTTTATATTGAAAAGAACACAAACCAAATTGTTTTGAAGTATGATTTTTGAAGTTATTGTATTCATATATATAAAATGTGGTTTTATATTTCCTGATCAAGGTACACGGATAAAATTAGTTTGGACAAAGCATCGCTAT